CTCTGAAGTGTAAAGGTTTGTTTTGTCAGATTTGGCAGATTTGACAGCTGCATAGATTTCTGCTGACAGATTAATATTTAGAACATTTCACTTAAGAGCCTCTGCAGTGCCTGCAATATATTTTTGGACTGCACGTACTGTAGATGTCATGTTGTATTTGGGGGTCATAAGTCACTGCAGCAACATGATTAATGGCTGATCTTGTTTATATAAATCACAGTTTAAGCACAGTATTCATCACCTTCTGTTTTCTCTTCTTCACCCATCATTAGTGAGCAGGCTCCCTTGAGTTATTGTACAGTGCAATCAGCACATTGTAGCTGTTTCCTCGGTCAGCACATTGTTGGATGTTGATGTTCCAGCTTTTGCTGTGTTTGTTTCAGTTTTTGTTGTTAATGCTTTCAGAAATTCAATCTTTGCTGAATGAAGTTAGAAAAAAAAAGAAAAAAAAAACAGTGGTAATGTCTGCCTTTGCCACAGTGTGTCCATTTCTATTTCATTTTATTTCATCGAATAACTTTCTTGCCTGTGTACCCTTTTCCACTGTGCACCATTTAGGAGTCAATTATAAACCTGGATTTTTGCACTGTAAGTCAACAAGTACGCATCATTTTATGGTTTATAACAGTTGTTTTCTTAGAAGCAGAGCGGAGAAAACTATGCAGGCAGTCAAGCTTTATTATTCACTCCAGCAAACTGGTTTAAGAAAATATAATCAAAGAATAGATTATTTGCTTTGCTTTTCTTTCATGAGCAGTAATATGCAAGAAATTACTTAGGGTTTAAAATTGTCATCTCCCACAAAAGAAGCTGACTCTACAGAAACATCTACAAGTAATATTAACTTTGTCAAGTCTTAAGTCTAATTAATGAAATTAACCTTCTCTCACTGTATACATGCCATTTAGTATACCTATACCATTGCATTGCCTCAGTGCTGTTTTGTAGTGAGCACTTTAAAACGTGGGTTGCTGTGATTATGATTCTACAGCTAATGTAAACTGATTTTAAAAGCTGTGCTCTGTGGTCTTCTTAGGTGTACATTTTTTTGCTTATTATGCTTTCTTTCCATTTAGAAGTTTAACAAATATTGCTGTCCTTTTTAAGCTGTTTGTGAAAGCTAGCAGGTTAATTTACCACATTTGACTTAAATAGAAGGTCTTGTAAGATGCACCTCAAGCATTCTGCTTCCTTTTGTGACATTACAGGAAAATCATAAGACCTCAGGCAAGATATAAGAGAAGAAAAATTTGGACCCCCATCATTTTTTTTTCTCAGGCAAAATTTCTAGATGCCTGAAGCTAAACAATTATATATGCAAGTATAAGTACCATGTGAATGTCCTTCCTTCACATCTTTCTAGGGACTGGTTCTTTAAATGCCTTCCTCAACAAAGACCTTGAATTATAAAGACGTGTCCTGTAGTGTGATGGTACTGAAGTTGAATTATTTGGTTATAATGACCATTGGAAGAAAGTAAAGCTTCAAAGCCTGTGAACACCATCTCAGTGTCCCAGAGTGACTTAATGATAGCGAAGGTAAGCTTTTGGATTGGTCATTGCAAATCTGTGAGTAGAACTGGGAAGATGTGAGAGAGCGAGGCAGCCCACAAGCCCGACTCCGTTACACCAGTTCTGTTAGGAGGAAATGGGGCAGAATTCGAGCAAAGCGAACTGTTGTGAGATGTTCGTAGAACTATGTAAACATTGGAGTACGAGGAAAGCTTAAATATTTCTCTGAAAGACTATCTTGCTCATTATTCTTGCATTTAGCAAGTATAAATATGTGTAGTTTGAACTGACCTAACACTTGAAAAGCTTAGTTTGATCCTGTGTTTGTTTTTCATACAATATGTGTAAAAGAAAAATCCAGTTTCAGCAGAGCATGTCAATGAGGAAGGCATCAATTTTAAAATAAAAATCTGACAGAGACTTGGATGAAGTGTCCATACCTAATTCTGCCCACTCAAAAATCAGGCAAGCATTGGTATATTGAATAAATCAATAATGCCTGCATAAATTATGAAGCCATTTAAACCTTAGCACCCTTAAAAACGATTTTTTTCTTCTGATTTATGTGAAGCTGCTGACTGGAGCAGTAAAGTCCAAGGCTCTTTAATGGTGATTTTTATCTTAAATCATTGATGAGCCTTTCTTTTTTAGGTATAGAGTGCAGTATGTTCTTAAGTTAAAATTTTATAAGGGGTACTGTTCAGAGGTGCTGGTTACAGGGAGTGTCATGTAAATCCTGCAGAAGTTTCTTATTAGTCGAAACAAGGCCTCTTAAACTTCAAGTTCTTTGTTTAAATGCTTTGAGTTATTCTATAACAGCAAATCTGGTATTCTACGATGGCGAAGTAACCGCAAAGCTGCAAGTGTGAGCATATCAGTTCTCTTTAATAAGTGCAAATGTGCTTTATAGTACAGTCAAGCATTTATACCTCAAGTCTACCTAAGCCAAGAAATATCAGTTGTCTTCATGTAGAGCCTAACCCTGGACCAGTCACAAACTATTTTAAAATCTCACGTTTGCTTGGATATTATTTGAGACATCTGTCACTCTTGTAATTTTTTTTTATTTAAGTAAGGTTTTCTCTACTTTTTTTTACATTGATTTTGAATCTCTTTGGCAGTATTTTTCTTTATTGAGGATGTTTTAGGCTAAAATATCCATATGATTTGTAATATTACAAATGTGTACGCTACAAAGCCAGTTTGTTCCCATAAAATCTGAACTTTGCATAACCATCCACAAACGGGAAACTGCAATATATTACGAATCATCATGTGTTCGTAGTCTTAATTAAACATTTGTCCGGGATTTGAATTGAGTATAAACTGTTGTTATTGTTGAGATTGTATTTTTTTTTCTTACTTCTAAAACGCCTACGCCCGTCGACTTCAAAGTGCCTGTTTTATTAGACAAGCCAAGTAAAGCCCAAAGACATTTAGAGTCATCAAAAATGGATAAAAGCAGAATGTTCTTTCACAGGCTGGTGCCACTGAATATCTGGGATGTTTGTGTATTAAATAACTTAAATGTGTAATTTAAACATTAGGGTTTTTAAAGATGAGTTTTCTTTCCGTTTATCAAGAAATTTAGCTCTCACCCCACAAACATATTAAACTTGCAAGAACTGAATAAATAAGAATAAATTTAGCCAAACAACCATCATAGCAAAAATATTGCTACGGATCTTTTTCCATCTTTAGAACATTCTGAGCTAATTTTGACTTAAAAAAACAAAACAAAAAAACAGACTTTCTTTGATGTTGTACCATAGCAAGACTTTTCTAATAAAGAGAGTTTCATGTATAGAGGCAAAACATGAGTTTAATAAGAGAGTTGAAGAATCTTTTATCCTCTGGAATGCAACATGCTCATGTTTACCATTCCTGCCAGGCTGTGTGATCACTCCATATCAAAGGTTACTACAGAGATCATAAAGGAAAAACATATCTTGCTGCCAACGCGGTTTTATCTGGACAGAGTGCTCTTTGTAAGACGCAGGAATCCGGATTGTAAGAACCTCTTTTATTAACTGATTGAATTTGTTGTATTTTCTGAATGGCAGTTTGAGTTTACTGACTCGTACTATGGAAAAAATAAAAGAAAATGAAGGCGAAGAATCAACACCAGAACCGTGTAGGTCAAAGTTAATCATTTTCACAACGGTTTTGCTTTTGATAAAAAATATATATTTTATTTGTCTATGTAGAACATCTTAGAAAACAGTGGATGCAAACTTCCTACACAACCCTGTCACCTTTAGTTATGTAAAAAAAAAAAATTGAGAACATAAAAAATAAAACAAAAATACTTACATAATCTGCCAAGCTATCCCTCTCCCTTCATTCCTCTCTTTCTCACTTTCTCTCTCAGCAAACATATTGCCACTATTCCATAAAGGTTGATTTTCAGAGTGTGCAGCATGAGCTCTGCTGTCATCAGATTCTGCCTTGATTTGAGTAATATCCCCACTTGAAAGGGATTGATGTACCTGTGCAGTTTTCACAACTGGATTCCACTGAAAGACCAGGTTATCTTTTAGCTTCCTTTAGTTATCAGTACATCACAAAAACAATTTTCTTTGTTAGCTGGTCAGAAAGAAAGTGAACACATTTAAACAACTTTTTGAAAAGAATAAATAATTACATTAAAAATATGTTTGCGTCTTATAATATTAGTGCCTGTATTGTTTAAGTTTGACATTATTTTCATTTAAACTGCAAAGAAAACAAACACTACACAAAACACTGTGGATCACAACCTCTGAGTGCTTCAATAGAGTCAAATGAACAAAATGCTCAATAACTTAATTTTTTTTTTTTTTACTTTAAAGTGATTACTTAATTTTTTACATTTCAAATGTTTATTCACAATTATATCAAATATAAATAATTGTGGCTTTATTTACAAATATATAAATTACTTTAACTTAAATTATTAATTTTTTTTTTTATTGTTTAATTTATACATGATTTAAATCTAAATATTTCTGGATCTCTCCCAACTTTTTACTTTTTCTTTTGATTAAAAAATATCAAAAAAACACCCACTTTTTGATTTAAGTTTGAAGTGTTGGTCCGTCATATAAAATTCAGGTAAATATATTCAAGTTTGTTTTTTGTAACGTGACAAAGTAAAATGTTGCAGAGGTGTGAATACTTTTAAAAAGGCACCGTAAAGCACCGTAAAGGACTGTAAAGGACGTAGTCTGCATTTATCTCCCATTGGCAAACTAAGAAACCTGAGAACTTAACCAAGGTTAACTTACATTATCACATGTTGTTTAATTTTAAAAAGCTTAACGTACCTAGAAAATTGGTTTGAGCCCAGATGTCACAAAATAATTGAACCTTTTTCCTCTTAATAGAACATAAATTGTCTGTAATCCTTACTGCCCTTGAGCTCAGTTGTTGCTGTTTTGTATAGATAGCATATGGTTTGTCTTTGTTAGAATACTAAAACACACTCTCTTTTTTTTTTTTTTTCCTCCCCCCCAGGGTTACGGTGTGAAGTGAACATCAATGAGTGTATTTCTAGTCCATGCCAAAATGGTGGAAGATGTATTGATGGGCCTAATCAATATCACTGCTGGTGTCCTGATGGCCTCATTGGGCTCCACTGTGAGTCCAACGTTGATGAATGCATGTCAGCACCTTGTCTTCATGGAAGGTGCAACTTTTCACTGTCTTTCAAAAAAGAATGAGAAAAATGTTGCCAGCAGGAAATGTTTCATAATTAATAAACAGGAAATGTTTCATAATTAATAAACAGGAAATGTTTCATAATTAATAAGCTAATGCGATCTAGTGCATCCTCTTGTGGTGCTTAAATTGTGACCCTTAACTTGGCTAAAGAGAAACTACTACATTCAAAATACTATATATTCCCTCTTTAAGAATTTTCTAAAACTATTCAGAAATAAAGCTTGAAAGAAAAAAAAAAGTCTCTTGAATTTTTTTCCTCCTCACTACAGGACCCAGTTTTGACCTTGTCTGTTTTCTTCTCTCAGCTGCAAAGATGGAATAAATTCATACACCTGCTTTTGTGAGACGGGGTGGATCGGCAGCAGATGTGAAACAAACATTGATGTGAGTTTAGCTTAATTAATAAACCTGCTGGGTGTTCTGCAGAAAATGCCAGGAGAATTGTGTAGTCTTTGCATGGCCTTTGGTATCATTACCTCTATTGACTTTTGTGCAAGATAAGTCAATTGCACTACCAGGATCATGTAAACATTGTACAAATACCTGATTAAAAGGAATTGCTTAGTCTAATGCCTAATTGATTTAAACCAAAGCTCTCTGCTGGACTCTAGAGATAAAACATAGAATTGCTTGCAGGCATTATGTAGCTTTAATACATAAACTGATGATTTTCATATTAACTGTTGAAAGATGAATTTATTGGGTGTTTCTTACCTCAAAATCTGAAATAGTACAACATCTTCAACGTTGTAGCTATTTTTGCCCAGGCGTTTCTCATTTCCACCTTCTATATCTTTCAGGACTGTGCCCTCAATCCCTGTTTGAATGGAGGCTCGTGTGTAGATCTCATTGATAAATACGCATGCTTCTGTCTGGATGGGTTCACAGGAAAGACTTGTGAAAATGACATAGATGTTTGCAGAGACACCGCTTTAAATGTCCCACTGTGCTTCAATGGAGCCACTTGCCTTGATGGCGAAGGATCAAATTTCACTTGCATGTAAGTTTCCACAGAATCTGTTCTAATGATCTGCAAATATTCTACATCGATGGACAAAGAAGAAAATAGTTCAAATGACATTTTGCTGAATCTTTTTGTGAATACCTGTCGGCCTAATACAGCTCAGTAGTTATATGAAACTACTAAACATGACTAGTTTTGATTTTTAGGGATATTTGCAATGGTCTAGCCTAAAGTAAATTTTCAGTTCTTACCGGCAAGCTGACCTGCTAGCTGGGCTCTATTGTGTACAGTGTGCAGTTCTTCCCAGTGTTTGGCCTTGACTTAGATTTATTGCCATGTGGCACTTTGGGTAGTGTGGTTGTTGAGTCAAAACCATTTATTGAATATCAAAGCGTTTGACAACAAAGCAGATTGTTAAATGTCCAGTTTTTGCTCTCCTAAAATCCACTAACACTGTAAGCCATGTTAAAAATGACTTTCTGTTTTTTTGTATCACCTTAACTTATTTACTTAGGGGAAAAAAACTGGGTGTTTTGGTGAGTAGGTTTTGTTTATATGACAAAAAGCCACTCAAAAAGTGCAAAAGAATTTCCCACCAATTCAACAACAGTTTGCACCATACAGATTTATTCTGCAACAAGCAATTTTAAATTCAAAATTGTATTTCTAATTTGTTGGTGGCAGACTTAAATTTAGGTTCTTAGCATAGAAGGGTTTTTATCCATATAAATTGCCTTGTGTTACTTTTTCTTCTCATCCTAATGTTTTATCAAGTTAATCTGGTTTTTAACACCCCGCTGAATTCCTGTGGTTTCCAAAGTTATAGTTTTAAAACACAATGACTTTGGAGGACTAAATCTTAAAGTAGCCAGGAAATGGGTAACATTTTCAACCTCTTAAAATATTTCTTCATTTTGCAACCAGCTTTTGTGGAGTCACTGCAATTTCTGGACTATGAGCCACTACTATTTTTTTCACGCGCTTTGAACACTGCATTAATAGAAAGCTTTTACCAACGGGTTTCGAGAGGCTCGACTGCCGCGTGTTGAAGAGAACAGCACAAGCTCAAAAATGAGACGAAAGTTATTGAGAAAGACAAGAACAGATGCACTGAAGTGATTGAGGCCATGGAGGATATTGTCCGAGGGCACACACAAGAACCGTCAACGCACCTGACCCACATTAATTAACACAACCTCATCCACAACACGCATCATGCGCGTGGTGCACAAAACCAGCACAGTGCACCTGACAGATATAGACCATATGTGTGCTGTGTGTATGTTGGATACACACATGGCACACAGAAACAGCAACTTCACACCCCACACCTGACGCTCAGTTCCTGACCTACACAAATAGGCCGAGTGCGACGCGCATCGGGCACAAAAGCGGCGCATCTGATCCACACAAGGCCTAATGCATACAATGTAATGCAGGTACACACACGTATGCGTACATACCGATTTGTTACAGATTACAATGAATAATAAAGAAAGAAATCATTGTCTACGTAACTGAAGTGAATTCTCTTCCTGCAGGTTTCCAATCGAAGAGGAGTAAGTGAAGTTACAATATTTGGCTAATTTCTATTCTTTTGGCAAACCATTCAACCAAATTTAATGGTTTAGAAGTCTGTTGACTCATTTTTAGTTGGCTTCACTGCACAGACAAATTTAGCTTATGGAAAAAGCATCAGCTGGAAAATAAACAATACATTCGTTTAGGATGTGTGTGTGCCCAACCCCACAAATGCACATAGTAGAGGACGTTTTGACGCAAAAAATCATTTAAAAAAATTCCAAAGTTATGTTAATAATAACAGAGAAAAAAATAATATCAAATAATTATAATAAAATTGTTTTTAAAAATCTCAAAGGAAAACCTCAAGGTATACACAATATGGACATGTGCAGCTTATAGACAAGTGCAGCCTATGAATGTTCCCTGTTTATGTTTGGGGTTTTTTCTTTTAAAGTTAGTGGTTGTGGCTTTTATTCAGGTGCATTCAAGTGCCTAAATTAGTTTTTTAAATCATAAAAGCCAGTGTCAGATTTCTAACCACTCTAAAGAATTTTCTAAGTAGCATGTCTCTAGAGAACTATTAAAATCAGTCAGACCTGTAAATTTTGAAGTTAAAAATGTGAACAAAAATATCAGTAAGATATTCTTGGAACAAGCTGATCAATGGAAATTGCAAATACTCTAGTAAACCAATGTACAGTCCCATTACTTGAAACTCTTATTATAAAACACATCTTAATTTTTTTCAAAGTTGAAATCGTTGTCGGTGATGACACACAGTTCCAATTAAAAATGCATCCAGTGTAATAATAATTGTGCTTCGGTACATCTGTGCACATGCATCAGTCCTCCAGGTTGTTTGCAAGTGAATCATTACTTTTTAATTGCCACCATGCTATGTCTTGAGTGATGAAGTGTATCTAGATGCAAGATAAATGCAGGCAGAGTATGCCAATTTGACACAGCAGATCCCTGGTTGCTGTACAGTTAATTACTTTGCCTAACCTTGTGTTGTTGTACTGTTATATGCTTGATGTCATGATTTATATGACAATGAATACTGCAACTCCAAATAGGTTGTTGCTGTTTACAGTGTTAAGTGATGATGCAGTGGACTGCCTTAGCAGTATGTTTCAAATTATCCCCTGCTCATTTAGTGCTTGTTTCTGTAGATTAGACTACAGGGATGCATTATGGGTTATGAATTTTCAGAGAAATGAATGTGCTGTTGTTATTTCACTTGAATGAAGAGGAGCTGTAAAGAGCAAAAGACTAAAATCATTTGACACTGTTATGTCCTACTCAATAAATGTCTGATATAACACAGTCTCTCCAAAAAGATGATCTGTCAGATGGTAATTTTATGGGTGTAGATTGCAGTATAAAACATTTATTCCCGATTTTCAATATTGTATTTTATATCGTTCAGATTTGACTTTATAAGGGATGTAAAATTACCTAAATGAGGCTTTAGGTCCCATAAACCCAAACAGACTTCATAATTTTTCCTTTTCACTTTCTGTTTTGACCTACTGCAGTCTTTCTTATTGTCTAGCATTTTGTCTTGTTCCCAGTTCCCAGTTTCCCAGGGAGGTCAAAGCCTTAGATTTTTGCCCTTCCTGCCCTCAAATTTGCAGTCGCTTTGATGTGTAATCAGGCCCTCTGTCCATCTGGAAAATCTCAGTTCTTCACCAGTGTGTAAAGACACATTGGGATTGACGTGCAGAATTAAATGCTCCCTTTACTTTCCCAATCAGTCAGTTATGTTTGTATATCTTTTTCATTTCTTCAAATAACACTGGATTAAACAAGCCGTTGGAATTCAAACAACGAATATTCTTCAGAACAGATTATTCCAAAATCGTCTTGTGATTTACATGTCAAAATCTGCAGCCTACTTGGTAGTAAGGATACAATTTCACAGCTGCAGTCATTATTTTGTCCATGTTTTATGGATGCAAAGTATAACCTATTATACCAGACATCTCTGCTGGGCTCGTTTTTGACTGTGAAATATTGTCGAGCGTGCACTTTCATCTGGTTTGTTTTTAATGTTAGAAGGCAATAAAAAAGAATAATTGGTTTCCAATAAGGCAAGTTACTGAAAAAGCAAGTTTATTCTACCGAGATGGCATGCAAACCTATTCTTGACAAATGCAGTTAAAGGGAAATAGCCAGAGGTGCACTTCCTTTAAAAATACTGTGTAGTTATTATAAATTAGCAGAAGGATACAAAAAAAAATCAGCAAAATAAGACATTTTTAAACAGCTTACTAAACAGTATGTTTTTTTTTGTTTTTTGCATAATAAACATCTGAGTCACCGATGTCACAGCAAGTCTAATGGACAGACACCAGATGGAGAAAATAATCATAAACATCTAACCCCTTCATGGATTTCTACTTAATTTGCTAGCTTTACTAAACATAAAGTTGGGTGAGCAACTTTAGATGGATTCCAGGATAGATTGTGAAGCAATTTCTCACAGTCAGTTGGCCTTTTTTTTTTTTTTTTCCCCAGTAAAAATACAACTCAGTATTCCATTGCGTTTGATCTAAAGTATAACTTTATTGGTACGAAAGCCATCACTCATCCTGTTTTTGCAGCTCTTATTTGGGACTTATTGGAGCTCATTTTTGAGTGATATTTTGAACAGAACTAGTTTTGTCTTGCATCCCTTCCCAAGAGTTCTGCTCTGGTGTTCTTGTGACTATGAACCCAGATACACTGTCCTGCATGTTTTATGTTTCCCTTCTCAAGCACAAGTGATTCAAATGATTGCGTCACCTTCTTAGCATGCCTCCAATTGTGGCAGAATTGGTTAACCACCTTTTAATTTCAGTCAGGTGTGAAACAGCAGGGTAACGCGTAAAACATGCTTTATGGTGGGTCATGAGGATCAGGGCTGGGGGCCTCTTCTCGAGTGGACACCTCATATGACCCATTGAGCCACCAACTCCAGTTTAAATATTAAGGTAGGATTTGTTATCCAAGAAGGAAGTGGAATTCACCCATTTCAAAATTTTACTTTCATTTTATAGGCTAATTTCTAATACCCTTGAACATGTAGTTTCATATTGTACTTTTATCAACACTTAATTTTTATTATGTATTCCATCCAACTCCTCCAGACGCCTCTTCTCCTCAGGTCCCTGTCAGCGCATCATAATGTTTTTGTCCCTCCATGTTTCTGAAGATTTTCTGCCCTGGTGAATATCCCCTGCAGTCTTCACAGCCTCATTTGATTTTTCATTTCATTTTATTTACATTATATACAGGACATTGTTATTAATCCAAAGACATAAAGAGGTGAGAGTCTTGGGACTCTGTACAGAGACTGCTACTCATAGTGGCGTATTAATAAATGGGATATTGTAAATATAGTTCTGATAAATAGATCAAACTTTTACCACTTTTGTTTTATGCTATGTTGTCATCCGCTTCATCCCCAACCCCCAAATTAATTTGATTTACGCTCACTAAATACCTTATCTAAAAAAAAAAAAACAAATAACTGATGAATAAAATATATAACGTTTTCTTTATTTTGTATTTGTTGCAAAACTTAGTAGTTCTTGGACACAGCTTGGCAGATCCACAAAAATGAAGTGACAGCACAGTGAGACTGCCTAATAGTTTTCCAAACTGTCATGTTTTTTTAGCTGTCCACCAGGTTTCATGGGGGATTTCTGTGAAGTGGATGTTAACGAATGTTGCTCAGCGCCATGCCAGAACAGCGCTGTTTGCCAAGATCTTATTAATAGCTATGTCTGCCACTGCAGGTCAGGTGAGTCATTCTGATATCCTGTGATTTTTCTCGGTTTGCCTCGAAATAAGGCAGCAGTTTTCTTTTTCGTTTTTTTTTTTTTTTCCCCACCTCTTTGTAGATCTTTTACAGGCAGCGTTTCCAGCTTATGTGTGTGGATACTAAAACATAACTTAAATAGCAACATGTTTTTCTAAGTCAACAAGAACATCTTAGTCTCCATCATGTCCCAGATGTGGTAGAAGAGTTTATCAGTTCTAGTTTCTTGCAGATCATCCTGTGGAAAAGGCCACTCAAACGTGGCTATGATACCTGCATAGTTAACCTTCCCTAAAGAGTGAAATTTCCTGTCATCCAGTACAAAAAAAAAAAAGACAGTGATTAAAGAACGAAATGACCTTAACTCGTTGAAATGGATGTGACATCTTACTCTTTAGTGAAAGCCTTTTCTTGTCCCTGTTTGTGT